TTTGCTCTACCAGAAGATTTCCCATTACCATTCTACTGATGTCCATTTCTTTAAAATCATTTATATTTCTACTCAACTCATTTTAAATTTTTAAACTTATTTATTTAAATATATTTTAATGCCTTAAACTAACATACTGAACACAAACACACGTCTTTTCTTATCTGCAATGATCAATAATGAACAAAATTTTAACTTAATTTAAAAGATTTGTCGTTGGTGCAATTGTTAAGCACCTAAGGCGCATTGCACCACAAATTGTTTGGCCAAAGCACAGTCTGCATTCTCGGTCCAACGGTGGGCAGGACAGTTTTTAAAATATTCCATATATGTGCAACCCAATAAAATAGACGCATATGGACTGCAGCCACGTTGAACGGCTGCATTACCAAGCGGCATTTGTCGGAAAGCTTGCATTTTGCGCACAGCATTTGGTTGACATCTCTGGAAAGATTTAAGCATGGCTTCAGCATAGATGGTATCATTGTTAAATTTTGTATATAGATCATTGCGTATGTTATCAAATTCCAATTGCTCCGGTTTTTGCATATATTTGGACTCAGTAATTATACACTCAGCTAAGCACTGCAAAAAGGAAAAAAAGAAAATTTAATTTCATTTATTAAAAATATTTCTATATATTAATATTCACTGTAGCTGTTTCAACAGTTGGGGCTGGATCCGATGGTTGTCCAGTAATGCCCATACGTTTAGCACAATTTTCTGTTATTTCATCACGGCCTCCATCTTTACAGCATAACGACGGATCCTGCATATAATTTTTTAATATTAGTTCATTAAAAATACAATTACATTAACAATCATAGAACTAATATGTAAGAACGATCTACAGTTAGGACTAGAGTCCTAACTATAGACTATATAGTCTATACTATATAGTCTATATATTATAATTTCTAATTACAATGCTCAATTTTATAAATTAAATAAATTATAAATCATAGTATTTTTTTCTTTTGAGTTACTTGGACAAGACGTTGTCAGACTTAATAATCGCTATAATAATTTTTATGTACTCATTTCAAAGCCACAGTTTTAAAGGAACTGTTGACTCCCCTGCGGTGAGGGGATTAGAATATTCCTGGCTTTGGTAATACCCAAACTTACGCGGAAAAAATGATGGTAATTTACCTTTATTCAGTGTGGGATTGCATATTCACACCAGGTGTTGTGACCCAAAGACCAGCAGAGAATGAATAGGCTTCGCACCTTACCAAAATGTAAGTTATGCTAAACACATAACTTCAATTGGTTCCGGCGGAGTTCCAATGAGGCGTTTATGAGCGTATTATCTTGGTACGTGTGTTTTTAGAATATCACGGTCTTGAGCCTTCAAGGCAGGTTATCCCACTAAACAACACTGGATTCTGTGATGTCTTTAACGACTACACTATGGAGATTGGACAGACGCTTGAGGAAGGAAAGCCTTAGAGCCGATATACGGCATTTAATGAGTATTACGCAGTAACGGAGTAGATAACAGAGAGTAACAGAGTAGAATTATTTACATTCTAAACCAGATAAAACTAATGTTACGTTAGTCGATTGTAGTAAAAACTTGTGCTTCAGTGGAAATAAATCAAAATTATTATGAATAGTAAGGTAAAAAAGAAGAATATGTCAAGAGAGATCTTGTATTTCATTAGATGTTAATTGGAAGATATATGAAAGAAAGTTATAGTAAACTATATTATTCTTGAATTTAAACTTGGGCAAAGTCAAAAATTAATGAATTCATAAATCGTTCATAAAACGATCTGCTTAAGGATTATCGCTTACACATATCTATGAGTCCTAAGACCTAGAGCGTTATCACAGCCATTAAAAAAGATATTTATATCCTGACATAAAATCCGAAACATTATAGCATATCGTCTTATAAACTATTTACACTATTAAATAAGTACTTACGATTAATTGTGGTGGTCGTTGGCAATCTATAGCAATCGCTGATATATACTGTAAAATAATTTTAAAAGAAATATATTAATATTAAATATATATATTAAACTTTTAAAGGAATTTAATGTTATATATTTCATAATGGATAAATAAAAACAATAACCGAACACTCACTTGAAACACTTCCAACAGCACTAGAAAGGATAATACAATTTCAATCTTTGACATTTTGAAGATATGATTTTTGCTACTTTTATATATTTTTTTTATTTATATATTTATCCCACTTTTTTAAGTATTTTTTTATTATTATTAATTATTTTGTTTTTTTTTATTCTCTACGATAAAGTATGCTTACTGCAGAGCTTGCAGAATAAATAGCTTAAATTCGTTGAGTTACTATGACTTTTATAGGCCGATTATTTCAAAATTTTTGGTGAAACCCAAAAAACAATATTATAACTTTTTAATTTTTTTTTATTTTATTAATAGAAAAATTGCGGGGAAATTTTGCTACTATTATTTTAAATAAATGTTGTGTTTGTAAAAAATTATAAACAAATTAGTTGCTCAGTTGATCACAAATGGAAAATGCTACTGTCTGCTAAGAGTGGTCGCATGGAAGTTTATATAAGCCACCAATGGATCGCCAAGCAACCGTGTATGTAATTCACATGTGTCATCTTTTTGGGTTGTTTATTTTTTCACATTAATTGCATATTCAGTGGCGCGTGACCACTGTCCACCAGCAGAGTCAAATTCATTTCTAATATCAATAGAGCGGTGATATTTTCATCAGGCGTATTTCATGCTATATGTAGCATCACAAATAGTGAGGTCAAAAACTTGCCTTCAACAAATCACTCACATTAGTTAGTTCCACATAATTGTTACTATTCATATTAGAGGGTTTATTGTCTTCATGTTAGGACTTAGTAAAACGTTTTGAACTTGAAAAATGTTTATGACTTTATTAAATATGTATAATTAAATTTATTTTTTATTTAGTTAATGAGTATGACTAAACCATTACGCAACTACAAATCGAAAATATAGAACTCACTTCGGTCAATTACCCACTAATTGAGTGTGAAAACTTCACTTCTGAATGACACATGAAAGTGAAAATATAGGTCATTGGAAGTTAGAAATTTTTGATATGAAAATCAGAAAAATAATTGACTAAAAATTTATAATTAATTGGCCAGTTAAAATCAAATTTAACATGTAAAAGTAATAACATAAAAATGTAATTTAAAACCGCGGATCAGAAATTGTCCCATTTATTATATTACATTACAACACGACTTTTTTCTACCTAATTGTATATACAATTTCATACACACAAAAATATGACCTATTAGATCGTAAAAAAATTATCTAAACTAAACACACACATCACTTAAATTTTTATTATCCATGTACTTTATTATCCGTACTTAAACTCAACTTGCCGGAGATATTGGATTGGTATTAACTGGGTTATTAATTCTTATGATAAGTTCAGCTAAAAGAATTTTTAAGATAGATTTAAGTTGTTTTATTATCATAATTGTAAGCTACTATATAAGATGATAACAGAACCAATATGGACCTATTCAACGGCAATAGTCTAAAATCCCTAGGCAAATAGTAAACGCAGAATGGTACGTAAGCAATTGAGCAGATAGCTGACAAACGTTTCCTTAACTTAATTGAATTTTAAAATATACTTGATGTCCAATAATTTAGACATATGTATACTTACTATGGAAAAAAAATAAATAAAAAAATAATTCTGAGCTACTACCACGCTGTAGTTGACTTCATCAAAACTTCCTTTACAGTCTTTTTTCAATATAATAGTTTACCATTAATCGTTATTTGTATAAAGGATTTTTAGACTCGGTAAAGCACTATCGTATTACAAATACTTTATACAATTGTTTGGATGTGGCCAATCACTACAACTGTGAGAATTTCAGATCAACTGAGTATATATTTAAGGTTAATAAGTTTCAATCATGGCATCTAAAAACAGGCTAAATTGGTTCTTTGTATGACGCTAATATAGTCATTATTATTTTGTAAACAAAAGATTTTATTAGTGAAGGTCTTGAAATTCGCCAAGATACAGTAAAACGTAAGTCGGAGATGTATTTAACCTACTATTCGCATATTGCACAGTGACTTAGTAAACAAGAATCACTTTTCTCGACTTCTTCACTTCTACTGCAAAAGTAATACAGATCCGTAAACAATAGGATGATTGATATCTTTACGGAATATTACTATAGAATAAAAAATTTTATTGTGTATCAAACTTTCAGCGCTGGTAGATGGTTTACACGATTTCTTTATATTATTAAAACTTTAAAATTAAACAACTTACCTTTAAAGTTTTTTTAATAAAATTCGTTAACATTATTTTATGGCAAAAGGAAAGATTTGGCATTTTTATAGAATGAATTTTTACAAACATTTTGAATTTGTTCCTGAAATAAAAGTCAAGCAGCATTTTCTAAAAATAAAAAAAAAGGTTAATATAAATTCAGTATAAAACAATCAAAAATAAAAATGATAATATTTACAGCTAAAAAAAATGTAGAAGAATATAAACTATATTTCTAATATAGTTTGTATATTAGTCGCTACTAGAATTTACTATATTTAAGTCAGCACTAAAGATTATTGGTACGCTGTAAAAATTTATTCTTCATTTGCCAATCTGCGCTGAATTCATTTATATCAGTTCGTTTTCAACTAACACTCATCTTTCGGCTTGAGCATTCACTCTATTCGTTTTCTATTCACAAACTTATACCTATAGTTTGTGTTGTATGTCACATCTATCTGTTAAAGTACATATTGTCTGCAAGTATTAGACTTACTTTAAGTTTCAACTCAATAGATAAGTCTCGATGGCATTTAATGTTCAAAAAAATGAACCAAAATTAAAATCTGCAGTCGAAACAATTAATTTTTTTTAACGAATTGATATGTATAAACGTCAGGGTGGATCTGTTATACAAAATCATAGTCTTCGATTTTAGGATACAAGCGACATAACTATCATAAAATAAACTACTATTAAAATTTTTTACTAATTTCTTTTCAAAGAAAAAATCAAAGCTGAATTAAAAGCATGTTGTTGTCATTTAAAAACTAGTCTTTAATCCTTGTGGGATTAGTTTCTCACATTTTGAGGTTATGGTTATATGGTCACCTTAATATAACAAATAATATCTAATCATTTAATCACTATAATAAAAAGTACATTCAAATTTCAATGGAAATATTTGTTTAAATTAAATTATATTAAATTAATAGCATCTAGAAGAAATTGTATGGTATTTTTAATGTGTTCTTTTTGTGGTGAAACTACAATTTGTATCGTAAAGCTTTCCGTTAAAAAGTTTTCATAAATAAACAACAATTTGAAGTAAAGTAACTCGTACTGAATCATATCGATAATTTGTATGAACCTAATCAATATATAAAATAGATATACTCACTTTATATAGTTTACATAAATTTTGCAACGTATAAATTGCGGCCATGTTCGATTTTTTCTGCCTTAATATTTTCTGAATCTTTAAGAATTTTACCGGCGTAAACCAATTCCAATTGATGTGGCAAATAATTGAATTCCTTGGCAATTACTTCTCTTAAATCTTTTACAAATAAATCATCAGCGATAGTAATTTGTTTATGGTCTGTACCGAGTTTAACATTAATAGTTATTGAAGACATTTCATGAAAAAGAAATAAAGTTCTTCAGAAATTTCTTCTAGCTGTGGCAGCATTCACCGGCAACCAATAACAAATATAATTAATACTTTTGTAAATATGTTGGTGATTTTCTAAAACTCGTAAATTTCCATCAACAAATAAAAAATAAATGAAATCGTGTGATTCCAGCTTTTTAATGCACTTCTACAATGACTTATTTGAAATTCTTGCTAAAATCGTTCGTAGCGCCTCCTATGTTTGATTTATTTTATAATTTTTATAAATCAAAATACTACTACATTTTAAAATAGTATGAAGAATTAATAATCGAATTCTTAACGTAATTGTGGAAAACAAAACTTTTAATTTGATTTTATGATATTTATATTAATTTTAGAAAGAGTGATTTATACTTTATAACACATTTAACATAAAACATTTTTTATAACATATATATACAAATATAGGAAAATAGTACATTTTAATAATAATAACTGCAACACGCAACTCTGTTAATCAACAAGTCGAACTGTCAAAAACAGTTGTGTTTGTGTTGTTGCTCAGGTGAAAAGAATTGTTTTCGCTAAATTATATCGCAAAATCTAATTGTGTAGTGAACATAAGTAAAATCGTTATAGACCTAAACATTTTATTGATAAATAAGTTTTCTTTGAAAATTTGTATTGTATTTATGTGAATAAAGCAATATATTATATATATACGATAAAAGCTCGTTTTAGTTTTCCGGTAATGCAAAATATGTTTACATATGAACACTTTGTCAATTAAATAATTTTATTAATATATCTTTGTTAAAATATGAAGTAATATTATACAAATATAAAAATTATAATATTAACAAATTAAAATGTGTGCCTCCGATTACTAAAATGAGTGTGGTGAAATATTTACAACAGAACAAAGTAAGTCAATTCAGTAATTAAAACTAATATAATTTAATAATGAATTATTAATGTTAGAAAATAAAATGTACTTATATAAGTGTAATTTACAATATAATTGAATTACAATAGCATATACAAAACGAATGTGCAATAATTACAACAAATTATTGATTGTTTTTATGATGAAGCCATGCATTTTTATCGGAAGTCCTGTGAAGATTTAGCTGCTTTAGATTCTGCTAAGATTCTTCTGACTTTAACGCAGACATACAATATTATTTTTAATTAATACTGCAGTAATATATACATATTGCATTTTTATTATATTGAATATGTTATGTTAAATGTCATACACACGTAATCAAACAAGATAAAGAACTTAATTGTGCAAAAATTAGTTTATTTTCGTTTGACAGATAAGAGAAAAAAAATTATTTAAAAGAATATAATTAAGTTTTTCAAGTTCTTAGTTAATAACTTGCTAATAGCACACAATTAAATTCTATCGGTCAAACTATAAAAACCAGAAATTTCGCGCTCAAACCGCTCTGCTACATATTTCGCTAAGTTCTGTAGTATGAATACATTATGGTACACAGCATTTCCAAAATTTACTACTTATTTATCCTTATTTGTATATAAAATAATCATTTTGTTATCGGAGAATTCTGGATTCTATATTATTTCACTACAGTTGTAGTAGTAAAATACTAGAGTCAAGATATGTTCAATCATGCCATAAACATTGTTTTGGTCTCCTCTTGGCCTAATTGCTAAAACAAAACTATCAAACGTGATTAAGATTGTTCAGGTAATTTATAAATGAAATAACTTACTGAAGTAGGAACTTTACTGTATTACATAAATATTGTTATTATGTGTTGAAAGGTGATTGGGACTAATATTCTGGTTTAATTACTTTGTTCTTTTATTAGAACGGTGCTCTTGTGTTATAATTAAAAACTTTGTTTCTTAAATTTATTATCGGATTTTCATAACAGATTCTTATAATACGTTGACTGTCAAAGTCGTTCTCATTGTTTCTTAGCTATCTGAAAAATATTAAAGAGTGTATATAAACCTTGATTTTTATATATAGTAAGACTTTATTCTTTATTTTAGTTAAAACATGCTCAATGTATTTTTCAACATATTACAGTAATCCATTAAAATATTGACATGTAAATTAAAATGGCAACGCACTCAAATCAAAAAATTATTGGAAACTATTAATGTGCTTATTAAGCAACTAAATCTATAGCAGATAAAATTTTTATATATCGGCTGATTCTAAAACAAAAACTCCAGTAAAATGAAATTATCTTTTGTTTGTTATTCTGTGCCAAAACTGTCTCGAATAGTATAATAAAGCAGCTGTATAAAGCCCTCTCAGTTTTAAGAATGTTGAAAAAGCTTATTTACTTTGTAATAATCATAAAGTTAAACTTCAGAAATGTAATTAAAACATAATTCAATTTCTCAGAACGAATACTGGCAAATACACATCGATTAGATTATTTGTCGTACAATTTATTTAATGTATCAGCGAAACACGTAATCAAAAAAATTAAATTAATGAATAATCAATGTAAATACCAAAATTTAATGTGTATTAGTCAGGTAATTGTGTCTGTGAAAGAAGATTTTACAAATATAAAAAAGAAACTTAATTGTAATTACACAAATTAAGAATTCAAGAATTTCAGACTCAACTCGGTACAGGAATCCATTCGAGATATCAATTTCCAAGAAATTAAATATTTTTAACATCTTGGTTTTCATATTAACTTAGAAAACAATAAAATCTTAGGTAAAGACCAATTAATAACCTGGGTATAAAAATATTATTTTGTATTACAAAATTAGTTAAAGCGATTATCTCGATAATAATCAACAGTCAAAGTATCTCTGTACCAAACACTTATCGTCGTGTATAAGTCATTTCAATAAGACTGAACACAAACAGAAGCTCGATGTTTAGTTACCATATGAGTTAACCCAAAAAGCCTCATCGACCGTATTGTCATCTGCAAATCGCTGTTGAATTGTAACAAAATCGACTCATTTCTGAAGTAGTTGGTGACTGGTGATGAAAAGAGACTGGTGATCACTTACGACAACGTCAAGCAAGCTGGCTGGCTGAAACGTTGATCAAGATTGACGGCCAGAAAGATTTTGTTGTGTGTTTAGTGGAATTTGTAGGGAAAAATTTACTATGAGCTGCTGCCATACAGCAAAACTCTTAACTCGGAACTGTATTGTCAACAATTTGACCATCTGAAGGAAGCAATCGCCTAGGAACGGCTAGCTTTAAGCAATAGAAGAGGAATTGTGTTTCATCAAGACAACGCTAGGATAAATACATCGATAATAACTCGCTTAAAGTTCCGGAAGTTTGGTTGGGAAGTTCTTATGCATCCACCTTATAGTCCAGACCTGACACCAAATAATTACCATCTGTTCTTGTCCGTGGCAAACGACTTTTCTGGTGAAAAACTCGCTACGCGAACAGCTTGTAAAAACAACGAGAATCGGAACATTCTCACTATGGGAAATAGGTCTTTAATTCCATGCAAAATTAATGGATAAATACCTTAATGGAGAAATGGATTATTATTAATAGTATTATTAACTATATAAATAAAAAAAACCAAGTTATACAAGTAACTGTATTAGAACCAATGGAAATTATTTCCCAAATATATCATAAAGTTAAAGCAGATGTCCCAAAGAAAATAAAGTCGGTAAAGAGTTCAATCCCGACACAGAAAAATTAAAAAAATAAGATGCCGAATGCAAGCTCGAAAACGTAACGAATGGAAAGAAAAGCTACAGTCATTGATGATAATGATATAGTCCAATAACTAATAAAACCCAATTCTATAAAGAGATTACAAATTGCTCGGAGTAAATAAAATTTATAATAATTTTTATCTACATGTGGCACACATAATATTATAGGTAGCTTATAAACAAACAGTATTATATATTATTTTTAAAGAGTAAATTTAATACGAATTTAGGAAGACGTCATAAATTAGCTTTCTGAATATAAATTTTATAGAAATTATATTCAACGAAAGATCAATCTGGTCGCAGTGCTCTGCTCCGTTGGGAGCTTGTACCCCGTTTATTTCTATTCTATTCTATTCTATTATTTAACCAAATGTTTGAAAAATGTAACTTTTTTAAGTTAAAAGTCGGATGATTTGTTTCCTTCATTATCGCTAGATTTTTGATATTTTTTTTATTAATTATTAAAAAGCAATTGTTCTCTGTTTATTATATTACTACATTTATATAAGTACTTTTTTCCTATTGTAGATTTTATTTATAACAAAGTACAAATATACGAACACTATTTTTTGATACAAATAGTTAATTGTGAGTTTCTCCCTTAATTTGGTGCTAATTTTATGATTTGTTAACTATTAAATTCTTATTAATCAAGTAAACAAAAGCCACAAATTTCAGTTAATGACACTTTAAGTGCATAGCCCTCATCTTTTCAAAACACGAACTCCTAATGCCGCATTCATGAGAACTGCTAATGCCTAACTGTGCATTTGACCAAAGATAGTGGCCACAAACATAATTAATACCCTTAAGTGGTGCGCTGACAATGAGCACTCGACACCCTTTTAATTCGTTTAATTTTTGGTTTGCCTAACAAGATACTAAAATGCACTTTTGACTGCACAACATGAACTTTGAATTAAATGATTAAATTAAAGAAAAAACTCTGATCAATCTAGCATCGCAGCGCATAGTAGTCGGACATCGTAGAGCAACTACAGGAGGAGTAAAATGAACGTATATCACAAACAAAAGACATTAACGAGACGAGGACTCACCATAAATGACCAACAATTATAGAAATATTAGAAATGCAGCATTGCTCATGCCGCACATGCGTGCATACGCATGCACGCACGTAACTGCCTTTTAGTCATTAATGTGCCATCACCATCAACATCGCCATCACCATCACCATAACCATTACCATCAGCTTTAGCATTTGATGATAATTTAGAAAATTTTATTTAGTTTATTTTATTTTTACAATATTTAATAAGAGGGGTTAGAGGGTATTTCATCTGCAAATGCATAGCACATATTTTCAGTTGACGAGTCCTACTTATTACTGAAGTTATAGTAGCAATTGTCTATCTCTGTTAACTTCAAAGCTACTGCAAATAAATATTTATCTTGAATAAATTTTTTTAGATATAGAAAATATAGAAATTTAGATTATTTCTATGTGTAATTTTTATACCAATTCTATTTTAAATATTAAAATTATTCCCGTAACGGGAATAGAGGTATTCCCGTAACGGGAATAGAGGTATTCCCGTAACGGGAATAGAGGTATTCC